CGGTGGAACTATTGCAAACAAATATCACCTGTTGCGTCCCGTAACAATGTAACTTTAAATTCGTTAAATCGCGATCGTTTTCTCTTCCCGTTGCTGAGAAAAAGCAACTGCGGTTTATTTCATTCACGGCTCGTAAATTCCACTTTTCTTCCCAAAGAAAGCGAGTGGAATCGATATATTTAAATTCGCTTTTAACTCCAAATTTACCGTGACCAATCGAGTCCATGAATCTTGCAAGAAAAAGACGTCTAAAAATCGGCCATGTCGTCGAAAAATCAGCTAAAGTTACGAAATTTAACGATGAAAGTGACAACGTCCACTGCAAAGTTTTTAGCGGGAAAAAATTGTTCAAAGTAACTTCGTGTTTATTCCATTTATGGCTCGTAAATTCCACTTTTCTTTGCAAAGAAAGCGAGTAGAATCGATACATTTAAATTCGTTTTTAACGCCAAATTTACCGTGACCAATCGAGTTTACGAATTTTACGAGAAAAAGACGTCGAAAAATCGGCTATGCACGCGTATCGTAAGAAAAATCCCGAAATCTAAATACGAAAATGAGAACGTCCACTGGAAATTTTTTAGCGGAAAAAAAATGTTGGGAAGCTCGTTCAGGTAAGGATAGATGCAGCGTAAAATACGGAGGATCACATTGGACGTTAACCCGATCGCGTAAAGAGAGTAGGGTGTCGCAATTTCGGACAACGATCGATGTTAATTTCCCTAAGCAGCAACGCGTCCACCCGCGACACTCGTGTACAGGTATAGAACGCAAACAATTTACCGTACAATCGATCGAGCTGTCATCGGTGGTTTCGCCTAACGGGATTGCCTGTCGGCCATTCGCTTTACCTTGTCGCAATTTCGACAGGAGGCCACGCACGAGACGATCGACGATCGTAAGATCGTCACGGATTAACGACTTTATTTCGAATTATACACGCCTCGTTCCTTCGGATTCTATCCTAACCGAGGGACAGCCGAACTATGCCCTCGATACTCCATCGAGCTAGGATTAATAGCGAATTGGGTCAGAGAAAAGGCCGCTCGGTTACTTATCGGTTCGGAGTTGGCGCGACATGCGCCTCTGTGTACCGTCCCTATTTCTAGACGATTGAATATCCTAGCAAATCGAGTTGCGAAGTTTATTACGCCGGCAGATGGTAATAAATTTAGCCGCAAAGTTAGCATAAAGTTTTTCCTATTGAATTCCGGCTGGTTCGAAACGTTTGCACGTCTGTGTGCCTAGATAACGTGCAGACGAGGGTGAGATGGTGGAGAGACGGTATCCTTTTGGCTGACAGCGGCGAACCACGACACGAACCACCTGAAAGAGTTAGAATGTACTCAAACAGAAGCTTGGAGGTTTCCCACGTGAAGCGGAACGATACCGGGGAATATGTATGCCAGGCGTCTCGACCAGCTCCCTGGGGACATGCCACCCAAGTACACGAGATCGAAGTAATGTGTGAGTAGTAGATCGGTATTGAAACGAAATGGTACGCTTTTTACGCGGCCGAGATTTCTGCTTCAAAGATACGGATCCATCGTGGAGACACGGATACGTCGATTCGCTTTTCCGAGTTGTTTAAAGCGTTTTTTTGAAGAAAAAGTTCGCCCCCCTTGTCTGAGGACTTTGATAACTTTCCTTCCGTTTTCTGCGGTTAATTGGTTCCTCGGAGTTAATTGGAGAAAGGGTGTCAATTAATTGGGATCGATAACGTTGTTCGATAAATTTGATCTGGAACATCCACTGTGCGATTCTTGTATAGCTTGCTTTTTTGAAAACGAATCTGTAATTCTCTGTAATTTTTGAAAGTTGAGTTTTTCTTAAAAGGCACGATTTTTGGCTAAAACGAAGGGTTACGTAAAAAGTAAGAAGGTTAGAAGGTTTACTCTGGCCTTGTAAATTAGCTGCGAGTGCACCGAGTTTATGTATGTCCGTAATTATAATTATTCACTATTCTGAATTATTATAATTAGTCATTGAAATAAAAATAATAAGCTGAATGTATTTTCTACGGAGTATTGCATTTTTACAAAAAGTTCTTTATTTATCAAGAATTTGCTACACACTGTCGTATTCTGTAAGCTTTTCTGAAGAAAAAACGATTGAATAGAATTGTCGAAACAATTTTCAATTATAGAAATTAATTAAATAATAGTTCTTCAAGGCTGCGCCTATACGATTCAATTATAAAAGTTCATAAATTGATCCCAGAAATTGAGTAATCTATTAATTTTCCACTACCGAATTATTTTGTTGGGATGTATCCGGAGCATATAACCAGAGTTAGTAATCTATTCAAATGAAAGCAGCGCCATCTACGATTTTGGACTCGGTGCTCCAGAAAGTGATAGGAATACAGAATGCGCAAAGAGGTCGTATAAACCGTGTCACGCGATAGACAAGGATAACAAGCGGTTAGAAGAGGACAGAGATGACAACAAAATGGCAGCAAAATGGCAGCAGAAAATCACAAATTACTCAATTTCTGGGATTAATTTATGAACTTTTATAATTGCATCATATAGGCGCATCCTTGGCGAACTTTCTAATATATTTTTCGATATTAATTTCTTCTTTATTAATTAATCATTAATAATTGTTTCACGGAATGTTGGAATTTTTGTCGAAAATTCGAATGCTTTATCATTAATTACTACTTTCTGTGGAATTAATTTATAAATTACATGTATGTATAATAAAAACAAAATCTTTGGGAATATTCCCATATTACTTTTGTTCATATTTTACTCCTAGTTTTGTTCGTAATTAATTATTTTTACGGACAATCGTGGCGGTTGTTATTATCGAATCACTTACGCCATCAAACAATTATTAATAACAAATCGATTAGCCACAAATTGTTTACAAAAGTTACATAGGAATGTTGCCCAAAGTTTCAGCTTTACGATGAAATTATAAAAGATCATAAATTAATTTTAAAAACTTGGAAATTTATGATTTTTCGCAGTGGCGTCGTCTCTGTCCTTTTCTAACCGCTTGCTGTCCTTGTCTATCACGTGACCAGTTAACACACGACCTCCTTGCACATTCTATGTTCCTATTACTTTTTCGCGCGCCGAGCCCAAAATCATAGATGGCGCTGATCGAAGAGTAAGGTAGCGCGAATCGTTGGTTTATTTGAATCGATTTTATTTCAATAATAAATACGGCAATGTAATATTAACAAATTACACAATTTCTATGATTAATTTATTAACTTTTATAATTGTGTCATAAAGTCGCAGCCTTGAAGAACTTTCTGATATAATTTTAGAAACAAATTTAATTAATTATTACTATTATTTGTATTACTATTATTTAATTAATTTCTAGAATTGAAAATTGTTTCGACAATTCTATTCAATCGTTTTTTCTTCAGAAAAGCTTACAGAATACGACAGTGTGTAGCAAATTCTTGATAGATAAAGAACGTTTCGTAAAAATGCAATACTGCGCGGGAAATACACTCGGTTTATTATTTTTATTTCGATGACTAATTATAATAATTCACGATAGTGAATAATTATAATTATGGACATTGATAAACTCAGGATACTCGTACCTAATTTTAAAAATCAGAATTAACGCCCTAACGTTCTTACTTTTAACATAATATTTAATTTTATTGAAAAATCGTGCCTTTTCAGAAAAACCCACATTTTTGGAAAGCTGTTAATGATAGGGCAATTTCGATTACGGATTCGTTCTCGAGAAAGTAAACTCTACAAGAATTACCCAATGGATATCACAGATTAAAATTCGCTTTGGACGGTGTAATTTGGAATCGTGCGTCGGAGAGGGTTGAAGAACGCGGCGTAGGGAAGTAGTGTTTCGTATGGAAGTTAAACACAGGTATCGATTCTATCGCGTATCGTCGTCGGCGTAAAATTATGGATGACCCGAGAGTATGTTCGAGCTCTACGTCGTTCGGCAAACAAATTCAGGAAACTTTCCTCGGCCACGGAATCCTCCACGGAGTTTTTCCAGCAGTAAGGATTTCGGTTCCATTCCACGGAACCCCGCACATCCTCGTGCATGTAAAAATAGGAAAAAGAATCCCTGCTGCTGGACCGGCCGTCGGTGGAATCTAATTTTGCAATTTCTTTTTCCTTTTTTTTCTTTTCGTGTCCCTCGGGATCGGAAACGCCAATTTCTCTTCGTTCAACGATACATGCATGTATCTACGTGTTCGTATGCCCGGGATCCCACGATTCATTCGGGTCTAATTAAGTTACGCGTTGCAAATCGGTAATTTCACCGATAACGTTAATTCGCGTTAAAAACGAGAAAAGCAAGGTATACCGAAGGATGGTGGTAAAACGTGAAATAAAAAGCAGATGTGCAAAGTTGGTCAGGAGGCATCGTTATTTGCAGATCCACCCAGCGTCCATCCAATACCGGAAACCGGCAGATTGGAAGTGAATCTGGAAGAGGAAGTGGACATGGCATGTGTGGCGAAGGGTGTACCAGTTCCTATCATAACTTGGAGAAACAAGGTAAACGATTTGTCTATTTCCCAGTCAACGGGAAAAAGTAAGAAAAACGTTTGAGCGGACGTGGTTCCGCGTGAATATTGGACGTCGAGAAGAATGAAATATTTACCAATTGACAGGACGGGGAGATACCATTTTTGTATGATAGATCGCGTCTACGATTCCACGCTGAAAGTCCCAACGACGCTGGCAGATACACTTGCGTCGCGAATAACGACGTCGGTGAGCCCGCAATGGCCACCATAGATTTATACGTGAGATGTGAGTACCGTTTTGTTAAAAATTCCAATTCCTCTGCGGAAATTCGATTACGATTGCTCGTGTGTAACGCGAATTCGTGACGTCCGCCCACGTTCGAATTAATCGACTTTATGTACGCCTATATGCACGGAAGTAGCGGCATGTACCATCCTGCATACGTTGTTAAACGGTCATAATTAAATTAGGAAATTGCATTCCTCTCTTTAGTATTCCAATCGAACATCCGCACGATCTAATTGTAGCCACGCTATGCTTCGATGCGTTGAATCGTTCGTAGACAACGATCGATGTACGACACCGTCGTAATCTCCATTGAAAATCACGGAAATCACGTTTCCTCGACATTTTTGGCTATACCAGGATAGCCCAGGAAACGTGCTTGTTTCTCTTTGATGAACGTTTAACCTGTAATTAAGTGATTCATCGCGTTAAACGATTTGATAACTGGCACCGTTGGATAATTAAAATCGTCGCTGATGTGAGCACCGATGACGGTGAACCGTTTCGAAAAGGTCAACGATCGCTTCGTGTACCGAGAATTTGTGGAGTAGTAGATAATTAGGTTGAATTAAATTCCTACGAAGCATTTAATCCCGCGTAACACCCTTTCTTTCCTTGCACGATAGTCGATATCGTTTCCAAGTATCGTTTCTGACCGGATAATGGAAATTTTCTGTCTGTTTCACGCATCGATGTCGCGACGAACGATTGATCGACGATACGGAAACGATGCAGACAAGCCCAGGATCGAGATGACGAAAACTTGGATGCACGCACCCCCTGGGATACGAGTGCAACTGCATTGCGGGGTGACTGCCTGGCCGGAGGCAACGGTGAGCAGTTTTGCAAGACTACGGACGATGTAATTACGACGCTAGTAATTAACAGTTCGAACAACAATGGATGTAGCTCGGAGTCAAGCCCGTTTTCAACGTGGGTCCAGGAATATCTTCGTTGTCGGACCGTTTAATTACTTCCCGGTTCCGCTTTCGGATTCGTTTTGTCTAGACGTCGTCTTTTATAAAGGAATTCGTACGTCTGGTTTGCTTCATATCTCGATGTGATTGCTTAACGCGTCTCCCTGGCACGTTTAAAAGGACAACGTGCGGAGCAACGATCGGAAATAATTTACACGGGACGTTCCAACGTTACGACAAATACGTAAGCTCTTCGTTCACTCAGCCTCCGAAGCAATTTCTTCGAATCTATCCCTCAGAGGCAGTAACACGTGACGAATCGATTGGCGGGAAACGTGACTCGCGATACTTTTCCTCGGAAAAAATAGCTGCTAGGGTTAAACTCGTTGCTGACACGGCATTTCTTCCACAGACTTCTCTCGAACGGGAAAGTTCCGAGTGTCGTAGTGCATTCTGACGAACGGTTTCCTCGGTTACCTCATCGTACTCTCGATGAATCCACTTCGAACCGTACACATAAGCTTTAACACCGATGTACCGATGCATACGACGATACTTTACCTCTTTTTCGTTATTGCATTTGTAAATCTGATCCACAGGTGGAGTGGTACTTTAACAACAAGAGCGTGAGATATTCGTCGAGGATTGTAAAGCACAACGCGGGCAGCGATCACAGTCTAGTGATAAGGAACGTCAGGACGACGGATTATGGTTTCTATCTCTGCAGAGCTTCTAATTCATTAGGAATCACCGAAGCTGCGGTCGAATTATCGGGTATCGCGAACCCGGCCGTTTTCAAGAAGGCTTCGCACAGTCTCTCCAAGACCTCGTATAACTTCGTCTGGGAGGTTCACAGTTACAACCCGATCGTCCAATACGAGTTTAGATTTCGTAAATACCTGGTGAGATTTTAATGCCAGTATCTGGCTGATTGTAATCGACCCAAAGTGTGTATATTATTCCACTATTGCTTCACTGTGGCGCATCAATTTTTCAATCTGTAGAATGGCGTACCCGGTCAATGGCGTAAATTGTACATACCCAGCGGCAGCGAGGGAAATAGTTTCATACACGTATACTCGTTCACATTGACGGGATTAGAAGAAGCAACGCATTACGAGGCGCTCGTTTTGTCGAAAAATCGTTATGGCTGGAGCAAGCCGTCGGAAATAATACGATTCGCCACGGAAGGTGCTCGTAAGTAATAAAGATAAATGACCTCTTCTTTGCCTTGAAAACCATCTCATTCCGTTTACGTGACCTAGATACTTTTTTTTCAGCGGACAAAGATAACTATATCACGAACGCGATACAAGAAGACAAAGTCGTCCCAGGTAGCTTGATATTTCATTTTTCGTTATATTGGTTAAGAAGGTTATAATTATACGATGAAATTGTATATGTGAAAAACATATTTTTCATAGCTGTGCAACTTGCATCGATGTCGCAGCATTCTCCTTTAGAAACCGACAAGTGCGGATGCTCTCTCGTCGGTGCAGAGGTGACGACAATTATCACGATGATGTTTATATTATATGTCTTGAATTTGAATTTTTGTAAAATATCTGTATAAAAGCCTAACGACGCGTCAAATCGAATTAATATTGTGAATTAATTACACTGCGTAGATAAAGAGAAAAGAATTGTTAAAGGAGAGGTAATTTGTGTCCTATATTAGGATAAAATTTCATGACGTTGAGGTCGTTCAGCATTAAAACTGTAAATAAATTTTAAACCATACGCTAAATGATTATGTTATTGTATTTAAACTTTTTTATGCCCCTACATCCTATCGTTTAAAATAAATTCTAACTGCAAAGAAAATACTTATGTATATATGAATGCAAAAGAAGAAAATGATCAAAAGGTAAATATATATTTATTGTTGAAAAATCCAAATTTAATAAAAGTTTTACGTTTCTCTGGTAGAGAGTATGAAAAACCTTGTCATAAGATTCAAAATATGTATTTGTTAGTAAAATAGATAAAAAAAAATTAACAAGTAAAAAATCTTGTGACGAACATAATAAAGTCGATACTATTGAAATAATTATTGTATTTAGGCAATTTATTATTTCAGAAACAATTATTTATTTTTACAATTAGGTATATCAAAATCGGAAAAATTAAAATAATAATTTTTGTTCAAAATTATTAATTCTATGCAGAATCGGTAACATTGAAAATGATACTAAATGGTAAGGGAACTCTAGAGACCTTTAGGCATTGAACATAAAAATACACATTGGATAATAGATTTATTCCTTTCCGTCAATTGTGATGAAAGTGCGAATAAAATTCCTAGACTAGACCTAGAAATCGTTTAATATTACAATATTTCTGTGCTGTAATGAATTAGATTTGATATATATATTTACTTTACTTTATTTCTTGTCTGGGAAAATAGCTTTCTAATTTTGTTGTAATCAATTGTTCAAACTTCATAAAAACAAATGAAAAATGTCACTTATTAAACTTTTTAAGTTTAACAGGAATTTATTTACTAATCTTAGATTGCGAAAGTGTCATGTTCATAGTATGTTGCAAATATGTAATGAGATTTCCGAAACAAACGTGGGAAAACATGTAAAAGTACAGGTTAGCTATAATTTATAGTGTTTTAATACTTCGATATTTGATACTGTGTATTTACACAAATCCTTTTTATGTTGAATGCTACAAACATTTTACTCACATTACCTCAATTATCAATGTATCTTATTATTCGTTACAATTATTAATTATTGATACAATTTACTAAAGCTAGGGTTGGATTCATGCAATCAGAAAAATGAAAAATAATATTTTTGTTGATATCATGGATGGATCGACTTCTAAACCATTACAAGTTGTGATATCAAAATGTAACAAACCAGAGCAATTAAGTTATGGAAGTAGCATTGCTACAGAAGGAAAATTAGCCATAAATTCAAATGGTCAAATTGAATTACATACAGACAATATTGTTGTAATTGGTACATGTAATGTTATGGATGGATATCCTTTTGCTCCAAGAAAATATTATGATGATGATTATGTTAGACAATTTTTACATTTAAGACCAAGAATTAAAAAATTTTCATCTTTGTTAAGACTACGTGACATAGCATCTGCATCTATTGAAAATTATTTAAGAAGTAGAGGTTTCATTAAAATACATACACCAGTTTTAACTTCAAATGACTGTGAAGGTGCAAATGAATTATTTTTAGTACAACCGTATTCTAAAGATTTATTAAAAGAGATGAAAAAGGAAGGCATTACAGAAGAAAAATCATATTTTAATACTAGAACCTTTCTAACAGTTTCTGGTCAGTTACATTTAGAAGCTGTAGCAAGGTAAATAAGCTATAAAATTATATGCATAATAATTAGCTGAAAATAAATCATAGAACTAAATATAAAATATTTTAGAGCATTTACAAAAGTATATACTTTTGGAACATCATTCAGAGCTGAAAATTCTAAATCTAGATTACATTTATCTGAATTTTATATGTTAGAAGCTGAATTAGCATTCATTGATAATATTAATGATATAATAACTGAAGTTGAATTATTAATAAAACATGTAGTTAAAGATATACTTGAAAAAGGTGCGTCAGATATATATGCAATAGGTGGCTGTGAAGTGCAATGGTTAAATGAAAAATTTGGATGTATGACATATGATGATGCGATTAATATTTTACAAAATAATGCAAGTTATTTAAAACCTATTACATTTGGAAAAAACCTATCTAAAGAGCATGAATTGTTTTTAGTAAAATATAACAATAATATTCCAGTATTTATTATAAATTGGCCAAAAGAATGTAAAGCCTTTTATACGAAAGAAAAGTAAGTATTATAGTTTTGAATTTAATTAGTTTTTTCAAATATTAGTCATTGTGAAGATATGTAACATTGCTTTTTTTGAAGGTTGCTGCAGTAGATCTGTTAGTATCTAATGTAGGAGAATTAGTAGGAGGCAGTATACGCGAAGATAATTATGAAAAATTGAAATCAAAGTTGCCTTTAACATCTGACCTCTCTTGGTACTTAGAACTTCGAAAACATGGTAATGTACCAACAGGGGGATATGGAATGGGGTTTGAAAGATTTTTACAATGTGTTTTTAATATACCAAATATTAAGGATACCCTCCCTTTTCCAAGATGGCCACACAATTGCAATTTATAAATAACAATTTTAAACTATTGTAAGCAATTAAATATTACAAAATAAAATTTTTCTTAGGAAAAAATAGAACATTTTCCAGGCATAATTAATAAATATATATTATATATGAATAGTTAATATCGTGACATGAAGAAAAGCAAAATTTCATTAAATTTATTTTATTATGCCTCTAACTTTTAATACTACAAAACTATTATATTAAGGACAAGGAGAAAATCAACATTAAAACCTCTTTTTTTTTTTTTTTCTAAAAATAAGATTTATTGAATATAGAGACAAATCTCAACTAAAGAATAACTTCTTATTAATACCTTTTTATTTGTTCAAATATTTTTATAGTTAAAAATTTAAACTTCTAAAGTTCTTCAGCAATAGCGATTATCATAAGGGATATTTTAGAAAGGTAAATTTAGTAGGATCATAAATAAGCAACCAAAGGAAATCAGACCCCGAATAATTAACAAGATTTTTTTTTATACAACAAAATAATCCTTCTCTAGTAGTAACTGTGTTTCTTTTTTACCCAATATCGTCGGGATTAGCTTTATGTTGGTATTATGTACATTATAATCAACAATTTTATATCACACAATTTGTACACCTAACTAAATTGGGTAATCTTTTCTTATTTCTGCGGGATCTCGTTTTCGTGCTTTGTAAAATCAAATAGGGGATGATGCTTCTAGAAAACAATGTTTCGAATACCTTTCAAATGTTTTTACAAAGTACAAACGGTATGAAATTCTCAGTTAGTCTTGTGCATATCAGTATTACATTTCTGGCATTTTTCCTGCCGTGAAACGCGATTGCACTCAATATTATTGGGAATGCTACTATATCATATCTCGCCTCTAGTTTAACTGTTTCGATTACATTAAATATGTACAGTTCTTGTTCTCTTTTCACCTTAATTAAAATTTAAAAACTAAATACGCGCATACACTTTTACAGTCACACATAACGCATACCTTTTAACTTATAAGACGTGATATTTGAAAGATGAATGTGATTAATTCTTTTTTACCACATTAGAAGATCAAAGAAATATGCAGATAAAAATTATGCATACGAAATGCAAAAAATAGAAAAGTAAAATACAGAAAAATGAATGGTATAATAGAAAAGAAAGCAAAAAAATTCAATAATTATATTACACTACGTCGTATAAGCTGTACAAATATGATATACAATGCATCAATACTTAATTTTAAGTAGCGCTAAACAAATTCATTCATATCACACTCCCACACATACATATTTCAAATACATTACATACACTATTTACATAATTGAGCAGAGTCCCGATAACTCTTGCCCTCTTTCTACAGGAGGTAAATTAGAAAGTTTTCTACCTTGTAAAGCGGGTTTGATAGAAGCAGGCACCAAAGGTTCTATTATTTCTTCAGCAGGTGTTTCAACTATAGGTTTTTCCTTTTCTTTTGCCTCTTCTGGCTCTTTATTAATACACAATGGTTTCGTAATATTAATTTTAATTCGAGATGGCGCTGCTGGAATCGCTGCAGGTGTAGAATCCAATTCTACATTTCCATCTATAGAACTCTTCACAGCAGCATATGTTGTATCAGCCGTCGCAGGTTCAGTTATTATACTTTCTTCAGGGTCTACTTGTAAAATTGTTTTGCAAATTGTTCAAAAATTAGTATACATATTAATTAATTTATACTAACGTTAAAACAAAGTATTAACATTGCTGTTAAGAATGCAATATGCGATACGTACCTGGTTCCGGTTCAATAGGTTCTTCTTTAACTTCTACATTAGTAAAATCAAAATGCTCCTCTTCTAATTGTTCCTCAGGTTCATCAATTGGTTCTTCTTTAATCTTAATGTTTTCAAAAGATTTATCCATATTTTCTGTTTCTGGAACTTCTGTTTCAATTGGATCCTCTTTTTCTATACTTTCCATATCAATATCCTCTTTGTTACTCTGTTCTAATTCTTGTTCTTCGATCTTTTCATTCTGTTCAAGGTCTGCATGATTTTCAATTATAGCTTCTTCTTCTTCTTCTTCTTCTTTATTCTCTATTTCAGCAGATTCTCCTAATACAATATCTTCTATTATTTCATCTGGTGGTTCTACTGTTTCGAATTCAGTATTTAGTGCTTCCACACTTAATTCATCAGTCTTATTTTCCTCTGGAAACGTTTCATCAGAAACCTCCTTCTTTTCATCTTCCATTTCCTCAATTGTTTCTTCAAGCGCTAACGCAGACTTTTCCAAAGCTCTCTAATGGCGTAAAAAAATCACAGTATTAGATTAGCATTTTCGATAAATTAATATATAATACACTAATATATAATGTAATAAAAATAGAAAATACTGATAACTATAAACGTGCACCAGAATTTTATGCAAATGAAAGTTTCTAATTACCTTACTTTCTAACATATATGTGATAGAAATAATTTTAAATTAATTATATAAGTTATTATTGTAAAGGTAATATGTGTATTCAATAAAAATCACATCTTACCGAATACATGTATAATCATTATAACTTGTATTCCTACTTATCAACAATGTGCTATAGGTCAGTTTGTGACAAATAGAAACAAAACATACATTTCTATATATATTTTTTATAAAAATAATCTAAAAGATTAAAAACTAAATCAAATAAAGTATATATTGCAGAATTTACGTTACATCTTTCAGTATCTAATTACTTCCACTATATCTATAAGTGCGGATTTTCTGCAAGTGCAATATATAAATATGAATTATTAAGAAGCACATACCACAAGACTTTTTTCCTATTTTTTGTAAGAATGCAATAAATAAGAAATTCATTAATGAACTTATATCGATATTTAATAGATTGAAAATATGATAAAATGGTAACATAGAATATAAGGAAATATAAAAAGATGTAGCCAACCTTGTAATCATCGAGACACAATGGGTGATAATTCTTTCCTTCAAAATTAATTGCTGGTCTTAAATGCCATTCTTCCTTTTCTTCATTGTAAAATTGTTCAAATGCATCATGGCACACTTGACATCTGGAATCCTCATCAGTTCCAGTAGGAACACTAGGTTGTGATGCTTCTTGAGGAGAGTCCTCTGCGGTGATACCTTCCGTATCGGCTGTTTGTTTTTCAGTTTCAAACCAACTTTGTGCTAAACAAGACAAATCAAAGATTAAATTTAATTTTTAGAAAATACGAATTATAGATGAAAAAAATTTAGAACTTTTTACCTCTATCTTCTAAATCTTCAATTTCTTCAAATTGTATCCAATCACTAACATCATAATACCAAGGTCGTGAATGTGCTTTTCTCGCAGAGTCTCTTTCTCGTCTATTTTGTCTAAAATGCCAATCCAAATGATGACTATATCGAGTTGCCAATTCCGGTGCAAATCTAGCACCACAAGAACTACATTGCATGCCACTGTACAATGCTGCTGCGATAGCTGACTGTTTACTACGAAAAAACCATTTTCAATTCAAAATCAATATAAAGTTATTAATTAAACATAATATTTTGTCAAAAGTATACTTACACTTTAAGTGTTTCTGGTTTATCAAATGACACTGGAATAATTTCTGGTTCTTTCTTTTCTTCTTCTTCTTGCTTCTTTTGTTCAGAAAGATTCGGGACAATACCAGTCTCAACTAATCTCTGGAACAATTCATTCATATTCAGTGGCAATGATAATGCTGGGGCAGTTGTAGGTGGATTTTCTGCTGGTTCAGCTTGATATGATAATCCGGATGATGGTGCCATTGCAGATGGTAAAACAGAAGATAACATGTCTAATTGCAAATCTGAAACAAAGCAAATTTTCGCTACAAGTCTAATGCAATATTACACAAAAGAATATACAATGTTTCCGTTGAAATATCACGTTACATATAGTACATAGTACATTCTTATAAATATAATATTTACCCGGTTTTGGAGTAGATCTAAGATCCGAGCCATCTTGTGATGTTGATTCATGTTCAACGGCAGAAAGTTGCGTTGGTGTAGAAGCTGTATCCACTTTGGGTTTTTGTGTTAGCAAAGGTGGAGTAGGTGGTGCTTCAATAGGTTCTTCGCCTTTCATACCTGCGATCTTAACATATCCTGGTCTAACGCTTCTAGGCAATACCGAAAATCTTATAAAATGTTTCTTATCTCTAACAATAATAGGTTTAGGCAATCCACCGAATTCAACTTTAAATGGTCGCCCATTTAAAAGCACAGTTTGTAACGAGTCTATAAATTCAAGTGTATGAGGTTTTCCTTCGATTTCAAATCTGTAAATATCATTATTGTATATTTGAACATTGTTTTACATATTTTTAATTTAAAGCTATTAAAAAAATATAATGACTTACATTTGGGGCTTTGCATCTAAAAATACAGGAACCATATTTCGTGCGTTAATAATAAGATTAATTTTGGCAACTACTAAGTCTGTTCTCTTTACAGTACCAATCTTAACATGGGGCGGTGGTCCTTCCAATTTAACACTAACCTTTTTCCCACCAAGATCTACTGTTACAGGCATACCGCCGAAGTAACACTCATACCATCTATCGTCAACATACAATTCTCTCGTAGGTGCACCTAATTTAATTCTGAAAATATGATTAAAGCAATAATATTTTACACTATAGATACACCTATTATTCAACTGCATAATATTATGATACACACCTGTGAACTTCTCCTTCATAAATAAATTCTTTGTATTGATCATTAAATGCGCATGTTATAGTATCCTTATCATCGATCAAAATTCGTCGTATACCATCTTGGAATCCGATTTCTCTTGGATCATCCCAATTCATAAAAACTACTCCAGTTTGACCATAGTATCTAATTTCACGTGGTATACTATCTATATTTATAGACTTCATTGTATCTCTCGCAATTTCATCCAATAATTTTGGATCTGGTGGTGGCAATTCACGACTATGGGGATTAGGATTTTTTATCATTGTTGTGGTATAATTTTGATCGCCGTCTTCAAGGTCATATTTCGACGAGGAACTTGGCGATACGTTTCTTGAAGCGCTCAAAGATGATATATTTGGATTTGTTATAAGATTTGTCATT